CTCACCTGGTGAGAGCACGTGCTCCTAACAATAAGGTTGCCAGTTTGACTCCCACATGGGATGGTGGGCTACGCCCACCCTCAACTAAGACTGAACTCAGCACCTTGAGTGGAGCTACCAGAGCGGCCCATGGGCGGCCGGATGGCGACTGGACTTGGAGCTGAGCTAGCTGCGCCCTCCACAACTAAGATTGAAGGACAACAACTTGACTGTTCCCCTTCCCCAAGTCCCCAACACTGTTCCTCTTCCCCAATTCCCCAATACAATCTTTAAAAAAGAAGAAAAAGAAACTGAAAGGGACTTCCTATATGTGATAAAGAGCATCTACAAAAAACCTACAGCTTTCTGCCTAAGGTCTGGAACAAGGCAAGGGTGACCACTCTCTCATCTTATTCAAACAGTGCTAGAAGTTCTCACCACAACAATAAGGCAAGAAAAGAGAACAAAAGGCATATATTATAGATTGGAAAAAGAAGAAATCTAACTGTTCCTATTGACAGATGGCATGATTGCCTTTATATAAAAATCCCAGAGATGCCATAACAAAATAAAACAGAAACACTCATAAAACGAATAAAATGAATTCAGCAAGGTTGTAGGATACAATATAAATATGCAAAAAGTCATTTGTGTTTGTATATACTAACAATGAACATATAGACACCAAAATTAAAATCACAAATCTATTTATACCTGCTCAAAACACTAAATACATAGGTGTAAGTCTAACAAAACGTGTGGAACTTGTGTGCTGAAAACTACAAAACACTGATGAAAGAAGTCGATGAGGCTCTGAATAAATGGAGAAACACACCATGTTCATGGATTGGAAGACTGCATAATAAAAATGTCACTGATTTTCCCCGAATTGATATATAATGTAACTCCTATCAAAATTCTAGCAAGGTTTTATATAGATAGAGACAAGTTTATTCTAAAAATTTATTTGAAAAACAAAGGAACTGGAATAGCAGAAACAATTTTGAAAAACAATAAAATGGGAAGAATTCGTCTACTAGGTTTTGAGATTTTTTTATAGAGTTACAGTAGTCAAGACTTGGTGGTACTGGTGGGTGGACGGATGGATGGGTGGATGGACACGTAGACCAATGGAACAGAATTAAGAACCCAGAAATAGACCCACACAAATATGCCCAACTGATTCCTTAAATTAATTAATCTTTATTGTGGTAAAATACACATAACATGAAATTTACCGTTTTAACTTTTTGAAAGTTTAAAATGCATCACCCCAAATGGAAACCCCATACTTATTAGGCAGTCACCCCTCCTTTTCCCCCTCCCCCAGCTCCTGGAGACCAATGATCTGTTTTCTGTCTCTATGGACTTGTCTGGTGTGGGCTTTTCACAGAAATGGAATCATACAATACGTGGCCTTTTGTGTTTGCTTACTCCACTTAGCACAATGGATTCAGGTTGTAGCATGTATTAGAATTTCATTCCTTTTTACGGCCGAAAGTACTCTATTGCTCGGTTGGACCGCATTTTACTTGTCCACTCTTCTGTAGATGGACGCTCGGGTTGTCTCCACCTTTTGGCTCTTGTGACGGTGCTGCCGTGAGCATTCGTGTGCACGTTTCTGTTTGAGCATCTGTTTTCAACTCCTTTGCATATATACCTGGTTCGGTGGGTCCTATGGTCGCTCTCCATCTAACTTACTGAGGAACTGCCACACATTTTTTTCCATTAAGTAGCTGCACCATTGTATGTGGGTGCTAATCTCCCTGTGTCCTCGTCAACACTTTTTACTTCCTGGTTTTTGGTAATAGCCTTTCTAGTGGACGTCTCATTTGGTTTTCATTTTCATTTCTCTAATGATTAGTGACGTTGAGCATCTTTCACAGGGAAACTGAGGTCCAGAGAGGGTCACATGGCCAAAAGAAGCTAAAGCCACAAGTGTCACCAGGAGATCGGAACTCCCCTGATGCCCACCAGCTGGGAAGTCCTTGGGGGCCAGGGACCAGGGTCCCCCTGCTCTGCGTCTCAAGCTGAGGCCTGGCTGGTGTTATGAGTCTCCTGAGGTCATCGGGACTCAGGACTACTGACTCCTGGGAGTCTAGCCCTTTCAGCAGAGCCACACAGACTGAAGCCTCCATCTGGAGCAGAGGGAGAAGATCACAGTGTCCAGGCTTCTTTGAGGGGCCAAGGCCAAGTAGCCGAAGGGCAGGGCCCCTCTAATCCCCGCCTGCCACTGGGACCTCACCCCTCCTTGACCTCTGGGTGAGTCACACAGGGAGCATTTCCCCATCTTTGCAAGCTGGTATATCTGATATACCTGGGCACCCAAGGAGCATCCTGTGTGTTGCGAACATGGACCTAGACACCACCCATCCAAGGCCATGTACTAGCTGTGTGACTTTGGTTCAGTAACCTGCCTGTGCCTCAGTCTCTTGTCGATAGAAAAGGGATAATAAAACGCTGACCTTATAGGGAAGTTCTGAGAGTGAGTCACACAGTTGCAAAGTGCTCATTACAGGGCTTGCTGGTGGTGGGCAGCGCCTGATAAATGAAATAACCCTGCCAAGGACAGAGGCCTAGAAATGGCGTACCAAGCCGCAGGCATGTCACTGCGCCCGGTGCCTCATGGAGAAACTGGGGCTCAGCCTCTAGCCTGGGCCCCTCCACACACACGCCCACCCGCAGCTCCGGAGCACCTGCGGTAAGGGGCCGCCATGGAAACCCCGTGGGGTGGAAAGTCCGAAACTCTACAGGAGCCTCTTTGCTAATCTGAAGCGAGCAGCTGGTGACTCCGGCAGAGGTCAGCCCAGCTCCATGGCACAGGCGCACCTGCGAGGGTTTTATGGCTTTGAAAACAGGGAAACTCTGATCTTCCTGGCAGTTTTTAATTCCCCTTAAATACCATCGTCTTATGGTTACCGCGTCCCTCAGTGTCTGCTCAGCCAATGGGGTGACAAAACCCACCGGGTGCACAGTGACCGTAGAGGGTGATGATGCCCAAGGGAGAGGGGACGCTGCGCTACAGTAGGCGACATTCATTGTCACCCTGAAGCCACAGCACCGTGCCCGGCACCCCGGGGGCCTTTGGGAATTTCAGAGCCGTTGGCCCAGCAGGTGCCATTAGATGTGACATGAAGTGGCTTTGCTTTCATGAGACCTGGCGTTAGGGGACGGGGAGAGCTGGTTCAGAAGCTTTCAACAAAGCAGAGCAACGCAAGGCCAGCAGCCGGCCGGCAGGTGGGGAGTAGGGGCCGGTGGGTGGACGGCGGCGTACTCGGTTACAGGGAGTTCCCAGCCCGGCCCCTCTGGAAGCCCCCGGGGCCTGATTGGCTTTGGGGCAGCGCGGCCTTTGCTCTCTCCGTGGGGAGTCCAGTATAACAGGGCGCCCGGCACCAGCCGCGCGCAGCTCCGCGGAGGTGGCTGCCAGGTGTGCTGGCCCAGGTGCCCGGCAGGGCTACGGGAGCGTGAGGACCAGGAGCCAGACGCCGCCCAGACATCCCACAAATCCGGCGGCCCTCGGAGGCCGCCCCCCAGGCAGCGAGAGGGGCCCCTAGGCCCGCGCCCCAGACCCGGCGATGGCGGGAGAGGCCCGGGCTGGCGGGGACGCGGCGTTGCGCCGCCTCCTGAGGCTGCACCGCACCGAGATCGCCGTGGCCGTGGACAGCGCCTTCCCGCTGCTGCACGCGCTGGCCGACCACGACGTGGTCCCGGAGGACAAGTTCCAGGTGGGCCCCCACCCAGACCCCACGCGCCTCTAGCCTTCCCGGCGCCCCGCCCGGGAGCGGGGATTCGCTGGGGAAGATGAGCTCCAGATGGACCCGCCCCGGCCCCGCCCCTCGCGACTCGCCCACCCTCAACGCCCCGCCCCCAGTGCACCCCGGCTCTCCCCTCCGTGCCCCGCCTACTAGCCCGGGGAATGGTCCCCAGGACAAAGAGTTGGCCCCTGTCCCCAGTGCCCTAGCCACCCGCTGAGGGGATGGTCTCCAGGACAACTTAGGTGCGCCCCCAGCCCAGATCCCCAATGCCCCCTCCAAAACACCCCAAGCCCCTGTCCAAGCCAAGGGCATGGTCCCCTAACCGGAGTTCTACGTGGGCTGCCCTCACCCCAACACCCGCACGCTGGTCCCACACCTGCCCCAAGCCAAGGGGCGGGCACGGCGCCCAGGGCTCCAGCAGCCTCCTCCGGGTTGGCACCGCCCCCTAGCTCCACAGGAGAGGTGGCAGGAAGAGGGCACCGGGGAGACTCGAGGCAGGGCCCCCACTTCCGCTCTCGCTCCAGGAGACGCTGCGCCTGAAGGAGAAGGAGGGCTGCCCGCAGGCCATCCACACGCTCCTCACCTGGCTTCTGACCCAGGACGCCGCCGTCATCCTGGACTTCTGGCGGGTGCTTTTCAAGGACTACAACCTGGAGAGATACGCCCGACTGCAGCCCATCCTGGACAGCTTTCCTAAAGGTGGGGCGCTGGGCTGGGCTGGGGCCCCAGCGGGACTGTGCAAGGGAAGGGGTGTGTATGTCAGGGTGGTCAGGGAGCCCCTACACACCACCTAGGACCACCTCGAGTTCTCAGAGGCAAAAGCTGGAGGCCTCGCCCACCTTGCCTGGGGTGCTGGGCTGGAGGCCAGGCCCCATTTCTTCTCATGCCCTGCAGATGTGGACCTCAGCCAGCCCCGGAAGGGGAGAAAGCCCCCAGCTGGCCCCAAGGCTGCAGTGCCCCTGCCCAGGCCCCCCACCAAGAGGAAGGTCCTGGAGGAGCCTCGGACGGCCCCCGCAGCAGCAGCCGTGTCCCCCAGGAATGCCCCCAGCCCAGGTATGCAGTTTGAGGAGACTGCTGGTCACAGATCGCCCCGGGAAGCCCGACACGGGAAGCCCAGCTGGCTCCGGGAGCATCTGTCCCACCAGATCAGCCAGAGCCAGCCTGGCGGGGCAGCTGATGTCCCCTCGGGACGTTAAGGGGACACACTGGTTGTTGCCCCAGGGCCGATGAAGTAGGCAGGTGGGTGTCACTTCCTTTTCACTGATGCGGACACCAGAGCCTGGATGAAGCGAGGGGGCCCACGGGAGTGGGGGAGACGCCCCTCCCTATTCTCCACCCTGCCTGCCCACCTGCCCTGGCAGAAAGGAGGGCCGATTGCCGCACCTCCCCCTGCAGGCTCCCAAGGGAAGGCCAAGCCCCCCAAGAAACCGGAGACCACCGCGGAGCCACAGCGCCTCCCGCTGGGGAATGGTGAGCAGGCCCCAGGCCCCTGCTTCTGGGCCAGGGTCACGGGGCCGGGCTGGGGCCTGCCCTCTGAGGGCCTGTCCTGGGCCCTGGGATCATGCTGGCCTGGAGTCTCACCCCAAAGCTCCACCTGGGAAAGGGCACGCTCGGGTCACCCCTTCCGTGCCCATCCAAGGGCCAGCTCGACTCTGCTTCCTCCAGAGAAGCCTCCTTGGTCCCCTCCTTGCCCCAGGACATGGGACCCCAGAGACCTCCTGTGCTCACCAAGTGCTGACCTAAGAGCAGGTCCTGGGTATTCTGCTCCCTTCCCACACAGCCCAGGGCCATGTCCCAAGGTCCCTGTTCATCCTGCCACCACGTTCCATCAGCTCACACACTCCACACACACACACACACACACACACACACACACACACAC